TGCACCCATAGCGGGCCGATAGCCACCTTTGAAAGGTTGCAAACGTTGTTGACAATATTGCAAAATAAAAGTTGCGCGCGAAAAAAATTGAATGATTAAAGGAAGTAAGAATAAAAACAAAAATTAAATAAAGCAATTGCAAGGAAAATTGAAGTAAAAATATTTTGAACGACGGAAATAAACAATGCGATATTGCTGCAAAAATATCTGTATTATGGTAAGGGACAACAAAAGATTTAAATTCCACAAAGTTGCTTGCAGTAAAAAATTTACCTTCGGCAGCAAGCAGTGCAATGAATTCTTTGCGTAACTCTATGTTCACAGCTAATCAAATTTTCATAGCTATGATCTTTCCATTTAATGACTATGAGACCGAAGCGGAAAGCAAATAGGAAGTGGGAAAATTCGTGGTGATGCAAAATAAATGCATTCCTTTTGATTTTGTTGCAGTGAAGAATTCTCCCTTCTATCCCCATTATTGACTTTGTTATTATTTGATGTAGTAAACGTAACTTCCGGGTTTACTTCGAAAGATGCCAATTATGTTTTATTTATGAACGTTAAGTTAGGAGGAGTGCATATAACTTTGAGATTTTTTTTAACTTTGATGCAGTGCACCGTTAAAAACAAACACGCTGAACAAAATTATTTATGGATATTTTTTGGGTATATTTAGAATGCTTATTTCCGATTTTTTCATATTGATTCTGGTTTGAGAATTTCGCAAAATTTTCGGTTGCTGAATTTCGAAAAGCTATATTTTCCATCATAATACGAAAAATTTATTTATGCAAACGCTTATGGATGCTCTGATTTTGCATTTATATCACGTTTATCAACCTTTAGCCTTTCCTCGAAAAATTCTAAACTCCCAATCTATCTTCTGTACATAGAATAAAGAGAAGTCGAGATTCTTTGAACACGCTTATCTCAAAAACTACTAAACGGGTTTGGACGAGATTTTCCCTAATATATTTTGTGTCCATAGGAGAATGACCTTTGGAAGTTAGAATGTCTATAGGATTGCCACCTGTCTAAATAATTATAAGATCCGCACCGTTCGTTAGATTACAAAAATGTGGGGTGTCAAACGAAAGGGATTGATCTCTAGATAAGCATTCATGTTTTATTTTTTGGAGCGAAGGTATCAGTTCTGTACCTTCACTCTCAAATGAAAAGACATCAAGAGATGTTCAACAATATATCATTTTTTTGAGTAGGGTTGCCACCTGTTTATAAATTATCAGATCTTCAAAGTTCGTTTGATAACAAAATGAGATATGTCCTTCGCAAGTTGGAATACTTTAACTTTGTTCAGTACGATTGCCACCTATTTAGAAATTACTACCTCATCCTTACGCAGTATAAAGAAAAGTTGAGATTTTTTAACCTCACTAATCTCGAAAATTACTGAACGGAATTGGACAAGATTTTGTTTAATATAATCTGTATCGATAGGGGTACTATCTTAAGTACATAGAATTTAATATCACGTAGCATTGAACTATCTGAAGAAGAGCCCGGAAATATAACACGAATGAATTTATGATTTATGTGGAAAAGTAGTTCCATAAAAAATCCCAACTACTATGGAAATAATAAGCTTGGTGGCCCTATACAAACCCCAAAAGAGTGGTTCAAATTACATATCAAAAGGTTAGCTACTAGGAACAGCATAATTTACCGTAAAAATTGAAATGTATTTGAATATCTATGTCACAAGTAAAAGTTCACAGTTTTGGCACTTAGGGTGAAGAAATAAATACCACAGCCCACTCTATGATAAAACTTCAATATAGTTGATCCAGATGCCCACCGTAAATATTGGAGAGTCATTTGGCTTCCATCGCAAACCTGCCCTTGGCGAAAGGAATCTCTGATTTAAAATAAAATGCGTATCACTTTGAGAAAACTTACACCCTTATTCTAGAACCCGAATTTTCGTAATTCGTAGATACGTTACGAAAAAACGAAAAATCGTCATGCTGCAACCCTCGCGGTAAAATGTGCAGCGTTGCCAGGTATCAGTTGTTTTTCGAACTCAGCTGTATGAAGGAAAACAAAGTGAAAAGGAATTAAAAAAACACTCATCATGCGCTTGTTTATAGTAAAATTGATTGATTTTAAATATTTTGAGGAAAATTATGGATTCTGATGCATTTGCAGTTATAGCAGCGGAGTAAGAGCGCGCTATGGCAATGGAGCTGCCGGGCATTTAATACAATAACAGCTTCTTCCAAGCCATTGAAATCATGCATTTTGTTAGGTCCACTACCTGTTGCGCTTGCTTCTGTCTTCGGCCGCGCTTAGGGATTATAACTCTTACTAAGTAGAATTCTCCTTTCTGTGTTGCCAGAGAAGAGCGGCTTCCGCATGTCAAAGGTATACAATATTTCTTGTGCATATCACAGTATTTTTGCGCAAAACCCACATCGAAATTTGCAAAAAAGTGCGTAGTGCAAACCGAATTTATTAATAATTTGAAACATATTTTAAATAAAGATTTAATCCTTTGATTTCACGTGTATGTTAAAGTTTTTGGATTCGGGTTATGCGTTTGGCCACAACAACCGAAAATCATTGTACAAATAACTAAACCGGACCCAAGTTTCTCGGTAAGGGGCAACACAGATTCTTTTTTGCTCGTTTATATAAAGCAGTGGATAAAAATATACGTATATGCGAATGACAAATTTATCTGTTTAAATAAACCCCACTAATATTTCCTGCAAACACACATCGATTTACGTCTTTTATCTCGCCTCCGACACAGAATTGTTTTCGTACAAAATTACGCAAAAAAGCTTACTCGTTCGTTGTTAGGCATGCCATTGTTACGAATTTCGAAAGGCATACCTATTTCTACAATTCGTAGCAAAATCCGAATACGAAAGTGTTGCAGAATAGTGGTGTTAATATCCAGAAGTAGAAAAAGTCTTTGCGCATAAGCTCTTTACTTATTCAAAACAGCATGATAACGTGTTGAAACTTAAATAAATCAAACTTCACAAATAGGAGGAAATAATAAATATTTTACTACAAAATTTCGGTAAAATCTATGCCGCAAATCGTAAAACAAATAAAGTAGTGCAATATAAGTACAATACAATACCAAACAAAAAAATTTTCCTTAATTTTTTTTTTTTTTTGAAATAATCGATAGCCTAAAACTTGTTTCTTTGCACATATAAATATTTTACATGTATGAAAAATTTAACATAATGATCAGTGTGACCAGTTGATGGTAAAAGCGAAACTAAATTCGTTTTTAAAAGCGGTTAAAATGTTATTCGCTATGAAAATTGAAGTTAAAAAGAAGTCAGTACTTCATGTCATGTCGGATATCAGAAATATCTTTATTAACAATTGCTTAATCTCATTTCCAGTTGGCTGTTATAACTTTCAATCGAAGCTTTCTTATTTACATACAATTCACGATTCTCATTTTCAATTGACACTTTCCCATTATTTCATTAACAACCGGATATGGCGTAATTCGATACAGAGTATTCTTCGGGCAATCTTTTTGTTTGGGTGCGCCTAAAATTCAGGTCGCGAGCTACAAGGCGCCGGCGAACTACCGTTTGGACAACACTGATATAAACCATATAAGTCAAAGTTTCACACTTAATGTAAAGTTCACAAAAATTCTTAAGAATTTTCAACTTTTTATTCAGAATTTCTAGAAAATTTTCGAGTATGCAGTCCTGTAGCCTTATCAATTTTAGCAAGTACAAGTTTCAAGTCGTTAAAAATTACCGTTACCGTTATTACCGTTAAATTTTTTTTAGAATTTTTCTTCCATACAACGCATTATCAAAATCTATTTCCATAGCGACTTGAAACTTGTACTTTCTTTGACTAAAGGCTGGGTTATGCAAGACTTAGACTTGGCTTGACTTACCTAGAAACTCAGTCGCGATTACTCAGCGTGTCAGCTATTACCTTTTCCCTTTGTTTTGATTGTCACTTGTGAAATTGTAATTTGTAATTTGTTTTTACACCAAAAATGATGCAAAATTACTATTAAAATTAATGTATTTACGCGTATCAAATTGTGATTTTTTTTATTTAATTTTCTGTCTTTTTTAAAAGTTTGTTTTTCGATTGCCAGATAAATTAAATTTACACAAAAAGTTACACTTCCGTGGCATATTTTTAAGGATTTTATTAAAAAATTAAATGGCAGCATGATTCTCTCACGGCTCTCTTTGCACTTCGAAATTTAACTTAGAAATCCAAAATCTATAGTTCTCCAAGTTTCTAAGTGAGGTTGATTTTTTGGGTAACTACGTACCCGCGCTGCTAATTTGCCAGATATACAATTTTCAAGTCAAGCCAAGTCTAGGTCTTGCATTACTGAGCTTTAAAATTCTAAATAAAAATTTTAAAATTTTGATGAAATTTGGGCACTTTATATATAGTGTGAAACTTTGATTTATTGGTTTATATTATGTTTTCATAAATAATTAATGCAAACAATTGTTCATGAAAATAATTGTAAACAAAGCGTACACTTTCATTTGTCGCCTATTGTACATACATACATACATATATTTAACACTGAAATCCGATAGGCACTGCCAATAGCATTTGCCTTTGGAACTACGCAATGGTTTTTCTTAATTGCTTTTCGATTTGATACGGATGCCTACTGCCTCCAATTTTCGTTTAAGCTCCGTATTTTCTATTCACACTTTTTTCTCTATATTTTTGCATTTTAACCGACTTCCAGAAAAGGAGGAGGTTATCAGTTCGTCGGATTTTTTTTTTTTTTATGTATGTTACCGCATAACTTTGGACCACGTTCGACCGATTTCGATAATTCTTTTTGCATCGGAAAGGTAGTGTCTCAGAGGTGGTCCCATACTAATCTGGTTGAGATCCGATCAGTGGATCATGAGATATATATATATTTTTTTTTTTATATGGGAGTTGAAGTCGGTTTTTTTTGCTAAAAATTACTTGTTTATTTCTCTGTTTCATGCAAACTGATCCAGCTTCATTCAACCCATCAACTCGGCATGCCGATGAATACCCTGCTGCTTGGTATTTAGCTACGTTTGTGTGCTTGCGGCGTGTGTGTAATGGAATTGGCTGTCTTATAGAATTTTGGCGCTTAAACTAACAACAACACGAACATTGATTTGGAAAACAAAAACAAGAACTGCTAACTAGATACCTCAATACCTGTCACAAATACATATGTATGTACATACGCACCATTCATATGTAGATATTGTAGACACCAAATTCCCATCAAATATGTCTACAACAGCCATTTCCAATAGTTCATCCTTTGCCTCGAATTCGTCGTCAGCCATATCATCGGCGGCCAATTCACAACTCACTTCCATCAACGAAATCAGTGAACTGCATCAATTGCGTGATTTATACCGTCGTGATTGGCCTACCCACTCTGTGGGCTACTATTGTCTGAGCAATTTCATTGACTGGGTAGAAAAGCGGCATCAGCTGAACTCAGTGGCGGATATGAAAAATCTGCAGGTAGTCACACTGGACAACGATTGGCATAGCGATGGCCTTTTTTTGATTGTGGTAAGTAATTGGATTGCAAAGCAATTGCATGTGTGTATGTATGTACCTACATACAACATACATCCTACTCCTATGAATATGTATGTAGGCCCCTTGCAGCGAAAACTACTAGTTGTGAACTTGAATACTACGCGTACTAGTTTGCTTTGCATCCACATACATATTTGGTCCTATTAGCAACTAGTTTTTTATAAATTCGATTTCCTATGAAATGACAGCTGGCAAGCTTGAGCTGAGGTTATTTTTTCGTTTTATTTAGTTTGAAGTCCCCCTATGAACATTATTAATAGTTTTGTATGGTGCGGTACGTACACTTAGATACATATACATATCGTCGTTTAAAGCACAAAACCGCGTATTAATATAATGCAAAACCGCGTATGTGAGGTTGCATAAATTATTTTGTAGAGATTAAAAAAACTCATATTTCAAAATTGTTCTCTCTTTTATAAAGCAATCGCATTTCTGGCTGGTATATTTAAGGACAAATGGATAAGGGGTTTTTTAGCTGAAAGCTAGTCAGCTTTAATGTTTGACCTTGCAAAACTGAAGTCTACTAAACTTAAAGCGAAGATCTGTGGGAATTAAAAGGACTTCGGCAGAAAAATATCTAATAATATTTGTAGCCTAAAATAATTTTTCTTGCTACCAGTCTTGTTGCACTACAAGTTTTAGGCAGATCAAGGTTATAAAAGAAGAATAAAAGGCGCTCAATTTTTAATTAAGATTTAAGATGGAATTTCCTGAGGATTCAAGTGAGTTTAAAAACTCCACAACTTTGCACTTTGCTATAAGCGCCTTCTTTAGTAATTTCTCTACATCAAATACATACACATAAATTCCATGTCAGCTTTGGTTTCAAAGTTAAAACTGATAAAGCTAAGTCCATTGAACAGATTGATATATGAATATATGTACATATATATGGGACATTCCAGTCCAATTCGGCTTTTGGATCTTCGATTTTTTTCATAATTTTACGTTGGTCGAAAATGGTGGCACACTTATGTTAGAAATTGCATTATCTTCAGTTTTATATAAAGAACAAAATTCCATCGTGTATTTAAATTAAAACTTAAAAAATATTTACTTTATATTTATATTTACGCTGTACTGTACGCAGTCATCCAACACGTTTACTCGCACGCCTTAATTTAAAAGTCAAATTTTTTAAAAGTATTTAAATATTGGCGTGGAAGATTTTTACACAGTATTCCTTGTGTACATATATGTTAGTTTCTTTATGTATATAACACTTTTGGAATATATTTCGAGTGTGTCAAAACAAATTTAAAACTGAAATTTTAGTTTCTCAAATCACAGTCATCTTTTACTCAATGTATTTTTTTTTTAATTTGGTGGCACACTAGTTCTATTACACTAGATTCGTTCACCTTGGCAATAAGAACATGTTTACCATTTAATTTTAATATTTTGTAGTATCTAAAATTATTAATTATTACTAGTTCGCCCAGCCGTTGAAATTCAAACACTAAAATTAAGGAGAGTTGAGGTAAGTTGAGTTGAGTTAAGATGAGGTAAATTGAAGTGAAGTGAGTTTAGATAAGTTGAGCTAGGGTGAGTTGCGATGAGTTGAGAAGAAATATCATTAGTTGGGGTGAGTTGAGTGGAGGTGAGTTGAACTTAGCACTTAGGAAAACATAACATAGCATACTATAATACAACATACCATAACATAAAATAACCTCAGATAACATAAAATAAAATAGTATATTACAATATAACATAGCATAACATAACATAACACAGCATAACACAACATCACATAAAATAAAATAAGACAACATAAAAAAGCATAGCATAAAATGACATAACATAGCATAACATGACGTGCCATAACGTAACATATCTCATTCTTCAGTTTTATTTTCTTCTTTATATTTATCTTTATCTTTATCTCTATCACTATCTTTCTCCATCTCTATCGTTTTTTATCTTTATTTATATCGTTGTAGTAATCTTTTCATTTTGATTTTTATCTTCGTCTTTTTCTCTTCCTTTCCCTTTATACTGATCTGTATCTTCATTTTTTTCTTCATCTATATACTCACGCTCACCATTGTCATTATATTAACTAATTAAATCTGCCTTCCTCTTTGTCTTTACCTTTAAGTTTCTTTACTTTTATTTTAATCTTTGCTTTTATCCCTTTCTCCTTCTACGCCTATTTTTCAATCACGCACGCTCACGCACGGTTTCTCACGGACATTTTTTTCAAATTGAAACTTTATTTATATAAATAGCATTTCATATAAATAGGCTTTTACCACACAAGAATTATTACAAAAGCTTGGCCAAACGCCTAGCAAAGGCTGAAGGCACTATTATTATTTTAACAAGTTTTAGATATACTTATGTATCTAAAAAGTATAAAAAAGAATTGGTATAAATATTTGTTCAACGTGTGTAATTTTAATATTACATTAGCTCACATTTTTGTTTAAAATTAATGTTTTGTCAAGGCACCAAGCAGTCTTTCTTTCAGAATTCTGCCCGACACAGAAAAAACTCTTTCACTAGTTGGTGAGCCAGCTGGCATGTTTAAAATTTGCCTTGAAAGACTTCTAAGAAGTGGTAAGTCTTTAGCTTTCTCCCAAAATTTTAAAACATCGTCACAACTTTTGTTTTCAAATAAATCTCTATTTCCCTTTGCCCTTTCGAGGTAGAAAGAATGTCATCATCCAGAATTTGGAAATCGTGTTGAGGGCGAGCGCTCTTTTCTTCAAGCACATTTCTGCCTACCTAAGTTATCTGCAAGCATTGCCTTTACTGTTCCTATTATATGTTCGCTATGGTTTTGCAGATAAAAACTGTAACTTTTTAAACGGAAGAAACAATCCCAGAAATTGGACTGAACTTGGTGGGAATCTTTTATTTAAAGCAAGAGCTGTGTTTTTCTTCAAATCGATAAGGACTTCTGCATCAGATGCATTCGCCTAACAATGCTTTTGTAGTTTTTTGTGCCACAGAACGTGCTCATGGATGGTTGGATTTAAATCCGCGCTCAAATTTTCAGAGCACATCTTGAAAGGCGCCAGAAATTCTAACAATTTTTTCCAATAAATTTGAATTTACTGTAGATAGATTATGGAGCTCATTTCTTTCTATTAATAATTGTTGAACTGATTCCGCATTTTGTGAATGCTGGACAGCGCTATAAATAAGTTTCTTTAAAGACTTTGATAGTTTGTTATTGAGTTCGGTATGTTTAAAATAGCCTACAAGCTTTTTTGAAGCGTCTATCCATTCATATTCTTCTACAAGAAATTAATGTTTACATGGAAAAAAAGTACAAAAGTCGCCAGCAAAAAAAAAATTATAAAAAATCAATGCGATTTTATAGCCGCTCTTGTTAATGCATACCCAACAAATGTCTAAAAATCCTGGTTAAGAAGCTCAAAATTATATAAAAAATTTTGGAATGTTTCTAAGTTTTGTATAAAGTTTGAAGGCATGATTTATACAGTTTTTGTTAAAGCATGAACCATAGTGAAATAATATAAACTGTACCAGGTAAACTGATGTCTTCATATTTGAAATCAAAATTTGATTTTGTTATTATTTTTTCTTTCATTTCTGGTATTAACCCTTGGTGAGATAACAAGGTAAAAATATCCCAAACCATGTTAACAAGAAAAAACAAAGATCCACTAAAATAAAAGGCTTCGCTTACTTAAAAACGGTTTTTAGCACTTTTTTATTTCGTATTAGTTTTCAATATTCTATTTAAGTTTTTTATCCTAAAATGGATGCGACACCTAAAAAAAAGTTTTTTTTTACGTTACAAGTTTACATTGGCAAGTTTACATCCCCACTCTTAGACACCAACCAGTCACATAAATTTTGTACGCTAGCAATTTTGTCCCCATTTTTTTTTTTGTCATGAAAAGTTTCTCCAATTTCTCAATTTTTTCCAAAAAACTACTATTTGGTTTTTTTCAATCCAGGTCCTCCAAGTTGGTCGATCCATGTCCAATTTTGCTCGTAACTAATTTAATTTTTTAAATTTAGTTTATTTGTTTTTGTTATTTTTTTGGCCTTTTATAACAATTATATTCAACAATTTATATTGAGCTCGAGGCCGTTTTTAAACGAAAATTTATTGTGGAAAAGCAACAATAATTTGAAAAAATGGTAGAAGTGATAGCTATTTCGGAAATCACCACATTTCCTCATCAGACTTCTTCCAGTAGGGTTCGAACCGACGATCCCACTGACTCAGCCAGTTGCCTATGCCAAATTATTAGCAAAAACCAACAATACCCACAACCACATGATCAAGTGAATTGCAGCGGAATAGCTGCGCTTGATTGTGTTGGCATAACAAAAATGAAAATAGTGGAAAAAGGCAAACGATAATTTACAAGGCGTACTTAGCACGGTGCATAGGCAACTGGCTGAGTCAGTGGGATCGTCGGCTCGAATCCTACTAGAAGAAAGCTGATGAGGAAATGTGGTGATTTCCGAAATAGCTATCACTTCTACCATTTTTTTCAAATTATTGTTGCTTTTCCACAATAAATTTTCGTTTAAAAAACGGCCTCGAGCTCAATATAAATTGTTGAATATAAATTTAGTTTATGCAAAATATATCCTGCAACGTATCCTAATCCATCACGATGTAAACCTCGATATCGGCAGCTGGTGGTCCAGGGTGGTTAAAGTCGGTTAAGTCGGCTTCAAGTTCTTTGTGATCAGTGGACGATTTATCAGAAATGTCCATTTCTATGTACAACTCTTTTTGTATCGTCATTCTCAACATTTAGTGCAGAATTTAGAGCTGCTGTGCTTCAGTACAATATTAATACTTTTATTACTAAAAAGATATTTCCTTAGCCTATATTAAATTGAACCGGACTTGGATGGTCGTTTAGTCCACCCGAACTTCTCATCGCAATAAAAAGATTTTCCAGCACGTCTTGATACAGTCTACTCCCATCCAGCTGCTTAGCACGTTAGGCATTTCCGCCCCAACAATGTACGTTATCGTGGGCCAAAAATCCGCTTGTTAAGAAATTTGATTGGTAATAGCAAAAATATGGTTCATTATGCTCTAAAACAGTCCGTGTAAAAGATTAAAATTGTTGGTCAATATCTTAGGCTCGCCCAAGTCCATCAAAGTTCAATGTGCTCAAAAATATAAAAAATTTATCAATATAGTAATTAATACATTTTTTTGCAAGTATCTTCGAACGTATTAGTCCTACGGAGTTTGGTGTATTGACATTTTTGTAGAGGATCGAAGTAAGCTAAGACATTTTTTTTTAGCACTTGAACTTTAATGGACTTCGGCGAGCCTAAGATATTGACCACAAATTGACATCTTTCACACATATTGTTTTTAGAGCATAATGAACCATATACAGTATATTTTGCTTTGCTGCCTTTATGCTTAAGTGCACATTTAAGATACCTACCCCAAAATGCGCATCTGAGACATTGTTTTTAACATTTATAAGGAAACTGCTCCGATAGATGCATTCAACATACCTGCACATTGGCGATAGCTGCCTTAAAAATTGTGCAACTAGTATCAATTATCAAAGAAAGTATTACGTTTACCTGCACTGGCCTACAATTACCTAATTTTACAAGCTTTTATTTATTTTACTCATATCGCAGAACAACGGAAATTGCTATCAATTTTTCTAGTTATATAGATAATAAGATACCATTCGAAAAAAAATTTCGCTTGCATTATTTTCCACGTGATAAGTGCTTCTCCATTATTTGGTTTCATAGGGATTCCTCATTGAAGTAGTAAAGAAAATTCGCTTAAGTGCTTTTTCGGTTAGGTGCACAAGTTTTTCATGCAAAGAAGGATGTGCAGCTAAGCAAAATATACTGTATTTGCTATTACCAATCAAAATTCTAAAAAAGTGAATTTTCGACCCACGCTAATGTAAATTGATTGTTGCGCTTTATTTTAAACTAATTTGAAGTATTTGTCAATGTTATTGTGGCTTATTAACATTTTACGTAATTAGTAATTTCATTAATTTTTTCGCTAAATAAACGTTTTAAGGCGAAAATCATTCAAAACTTCATTTACCTTTATTGTTCTTGTTTCTTGAACTCCATTGATTGAAATAAATGCAAGAAGAATGGTTAAGCGTTTTTTTCTGCCGAGAGAAGGGAGTGACATTAAAAAACAACTCGTGAGATTTGCTCATTAATATAATGGAAACAAATTTTAACTTCGTATTTCTATAAACCAATTTGTAATATAAAATGTTGATTTCCATAAAACTCATACTGATCGATGATGTTTTATTAAAAAAACGGTCAGCCATTCCGCAACGTTTAGTCCCGATAATGGGATAAAAATGGGATCTATTTTTTCGCCATGTACGAGTAATCAAGCGTTTGATCACACTTTAATCCTGGAAGTACATGCTTCGTCGGATCGACGGCGCAATTTTTATTTTTCGAAACTAACCGAAAGCTTATACAATAATAATTCATTTTTTAAATAGCATGTATTTTGCATACAAAAAATAAGCATGTACTTCCAGGGTTAAGGAAAACGATGACAATTTATTACACGATACTGATTAATCGTAGCGTAATGCTACCTACTGCAATTATGTAAAGAATTTCTTTCTCTACAACAAGGTATTTTTATATTTTTTATTAATGCAGGTAAATCCTTGGCGTTGAGATGGACAAAATTTGTTAGTTTTTCGTTCCCATTGTTATCCCATAATCAGACTAGGATTAGAAGTTGCGGTGTGAGAGTTTATATGAGAAAAATTTTAAGAAAATCGATCAGTACGTGGTTTTTAATCAGAATTTTATATTAAAAATTTTTAAATTTCATGGAAATTTTATAGAAATGCGGTTTTCAAATTTGTTTCATTATATTTAAAAAAATTTTCAGGAAATTTAAAAATTTCAAACAAAAAAAATGGTCACGATCTATATTTCGAAAACGGTTGAACAAAAAAATTCAAGAGGCCGCTCTCAATTTGCACTATAAAAAAAATACGAAAAAATTTAAACTGTCGAAAACTAAATAAATAAAATTCAAAGGTCATATCAAGCAATAGGATTCATACATACATATTCACAAAGGCTCTAACCAACAAATTCTTTATTTTATAGGAAAAGCAAAAAAACATTATAAAATGAGTATCAAAAACAGGTATGGCTTTTTAAAAAGTGGCATGCAACTCCGTTGTTTTTGGTATTAACACTTCAAAATTATTTATTGAAGGTGTATTTTAATAAATCCTAAAATCTGTGAAAAACGCTGTTTTGAAAAAAGTGTTGGCTAGGTCCTTTGTGAATTAAGGTAACAATATGTATTTATTTATTTGATTTTCTGCAATATTTTTATATTTCAATGTCCGCACTGACCTTTTTTTCTGGACCGTTACCAGCTATTTGTGAATTCACTACTCTCCAGCGAAGGCAATGAACGTCTCACAAAAGCACTCACCCTTCTCAACTGGTCTTGGCCAGGCTTCAAAGTGAGCTCTTTTCTGGAACGTCATCGCCCTTCGGTGCTGAGTGCAGTGCACACAAATAATTTAAAAATCGACTACGATAATCTCACTGTTATGTACTACAAGCCCAGAATGGAAGTGCTGCAGTTGCCACTAAAGTACGTA